TTTATTTTCTTTTATTCAATCCCATAATCATTACTGATACACAGTACGTTCTTAGAGTAATTGTGAGTCTTAAGATAAATATAAAAAACTTTTGTGGCATAAAGTAAAATGTGATTATTATTAAAGAAAACTGACTCACTCACAAAATAAATATAAAAATATTTTAGTTAGCTTTTTACAGTATTAAAACAGTTTAAATGCTTTCTTATCTAATAATTAATCAGATGTAAAAATATTTTTTTATTACAAAAATTGATTAATAATCAGTATAAGAAAAATGTATTCAGAAAGAAGATAGGTGAATTTTTTGTCCCACTTTATCTTCTTTTGCAGTGAGCTTGTCTTTTCCATAGTTACTTTGTGTGCTAATTAAGGCCATGAATTCTAGTTCTCTGATATCTAGATATTGTAAATATTCTTAGCATTTGAGTCAGTTTTAAAATGGGGGCTTTAGTAGTTTACATTAACTTTACTAAAATATTTTATTCTTTTTCCTTATATTAATATATATATATTTATACATTATTAATATTGACTATTTTCATTTTCCACATTTTACATATTTAATAATTCTATCAAATATTAATTTTGGTAATAGAATAAATGTTATGTTCAAAAACTAAAATAAATAAACTACCAAATTATTGATTTGGATACAAATATCTGAAATATTCATACATAGATCTTTCTTGAAAAATTGTTGCTTAAAAAGTAACAACATAGATAATACATTATACATAGCATACATATAAATATTGTTAAAATTAATTGTCAAATTTTAATTTCTGAATTTTTATGCATACTCTATCTCTCTCTTATAGTTTAGCCATTACAATTTTTTAAATTAATGTTGTTGTTACAGTTTGTTTTACATAACTTAATCAGTTTTATACAACACTGAACCATTAATTATGCAGTAAGAGCAAAGCAGATTTATACAAGTTTATATATTTGAATAAATAGCAATTATAATTTGTTTTNTTTGTTTTAGAAACATTATCAAATTTTATAATTGCAATGTTTGTTTGAGCATTAATAATAATAATAATAATAATAATGAGTGAAGTAAATGAATTTGTTTTGTTATTTGCGTTTCATTGAGAAATTACAAATGTTCCCAAGGCAAAGACGACTTCGAAAATAAAAACGGGTCAAGCGAACCAAAACAGAAAGTAAGGCAAATTACCACCTGGCGGAGAGATTGGTGGAGAATTTACACGAGGAGTTTGTTTAATTTTAGAGAGTAACGTTTGTAAAAAGAGCAACAGAGGGCAACAAACTGCACGGGATGACCTCCGCGGTGTCGGAACGAACGAAGCGCCATCCCTTCACCATCACGTGGTTCCTTATATAACGCAGTAGCATTCGGTGGGATTCATTACGTAAAGAGAAAGCGAACGGAGCCTGCGCAGTGCTCGAGTTGTGTGACAATCGCGAGCCATACTATGATGAACAGTAGCTGATAGTTATTCACGTAGTCAACAACCATGTACGGACACATGTTCGGTGAGAGAGGCGAAGAGAATGTGGATCTACTATTAGGTCTAGCAGATTCTCTCGTGAGCGAAGGTAAAGTAACACAAGCTATCGACGTGTATAGCAGAGCTTACCGTATCGGATCTGTGTCGCCAGAAAGACTAGGGAGTTTAGTAGAAGCTATGGTCGAAGTTGCCAGAGAGCGTGCGTCTGATACTTGGAACTCTTCCCTGCCTAGACATGACATTTTTCTATGTTCGCTCTGCCAAAGTATGTACGTCGATCCAGTCACTATCCCTTGCGGTCACACTTACTGCAAGAGATGCCTGGCTAAAGATTGTTATCCAAAGACATGTAAGAAGTGCGGTGTTTCGCACGCTCAGAGTCAGTTAACTCCTCTTAAATCGAACGTTTTGATTACGACAGTTCTAGACAAGTGGAAAAATAATGAAATGAAAGCTGCTAAATTAAGACTCGAAGGTTGTGAACTGTTTCAGAGAGGAGAGGCCATTGCCGCTTTAGAGAAATACAGAGAGGCGTTCGACCTCGGTGAGTGTATATTTTCTCTACTTAAATAATAAGTACAGGTATTCGATTTTCTTTCGCACGCAATTATTCGCTTGATTTTTAACTTAATTCCTTCTAAAAAATATATTTTATAATAATAAGTATTAACGATATATATACAGTATTTAACGCGCTTTAACCGAAAAATTTATTATTTATATTTCGGTTAAATAAAATATAACGCGTGTTCTAATATGGTGTCAAATTATTAATGAAATTGAAGTGGTATTTAATTTTGAATTCAAATCATTTTGAAAATGGAGATCCCGCGTCGCTTTCTATTGGTGAACTTTTGACCAATGAGGCGCGTCTTATTATGAAAAGTGCTTATACAAGTTGATAGAGGGTCACGTGACGAATGCGAGTCCTTGTCCTCGCTACGGTAGCGGATCTTATACAACTATCCCTTAAGGCAAGTCAAAGTTCGAACACGTGTACAAGATTTCGATAATAATAACCCAGTGTTTAAGCGTCTAGACTGTTTATCGAAATTATTTTCGTTGTTATCGCTATACAGAAATAAAGAATCTTCGCAAGAAACACTAGTTTCATTATTATAAGAATTTTTTCGATTTTTTTTATGACTTAAATAATGATGTAATTAGTTTAAGGAAGAATAGTCAATAGAAGGTTTAAATTAACATATTGGAAATTTTAAACGAATGAAGAAGCGGCTTTATTTTAATGAAAAATTTAAGAAATGCGTCTTTAAAAGATTTCCTTGTTTCTATTCGGGTTAAAAATTATAAAGTATTATATAAGTAGTTGTTTTCCCGAAACTAACCCTTACGTAACTAGCACTCTAGAGCTTTGCGTCATCATGCGCTTGATTTGCAGATTTACGGTTTCTTTTATTTATTTATTTATTTATTTCTTAAGAACACGTGCGGAATTATTGCAGTAATATACTGTATATATAAGTTCTATTTAAATCATTACTTAAATTAACTAATTAAATGTTTTATTTAATATATGTAAAAATTATATATATATTTATGCATGGTAGAATGCAAAATATTCAAGTGACGAAATGAGGTTGCATAATTGTTTCGTTGACAAAAAGTTTGCCGTATCTCTCTCTCTCTATTGCCAACTCACGGTTCACATACGCGGATTTTCGGTCGATCCGCTACACGTGTCGAACTTCGATCACGTGATAGCGGGGAGGATTAAACGGAATTGTTTACGTGTTCTTGTCATTCTGATAGCGTGACTTTCCGTGTTCGCTAGTTAAACATCACAAGGTTAAATCATATTTTTAAAAATGCCACCCCGATTGTCGCATTTGTTCACATACGTGGGGTATTTTCTACTCCCAAATTATTTATAATCGAATATATAATTAGAAAATTTTCGTGTCTAATACTTCCTTGATTAATTAATTATCTAATTAAAAAAAAAAAGCCGAAAATTAGAGACGGAAAATAAAATTGTTGGAGTGAAGATTGTTAGGTTTTGAGTCATCGACACTTTTAAAACTACTTGTTAACGCGTAACAGGAAGATGACGAATTTTTTTTTGCCTTGTTGGACCGTATTAAAAGGTCTGATACTGTATTGTTATCAATAGCCTACAACACCGAGGGAGGTAACACAATTTCCAGTCTGTCGGAATTGTAAGCAAAGCGGTCATCTTAACTATTATCGTTATATAATGACACTTTCGCTTTGTTGATTTTTCTCGTTACGGTGTATATCGTCGACGTAGGTGTATATCAGCATTAAATGTCGACTAGAAATCCGCTGAAAGTCATAATAATTTAAAATATTAAAAAATAAAAAAAAAATAATAATAATATACGCCCAATTTTACATTGGGGCGAAATTGTCTCTACTTTTTCCCTCTTTTTTTTTCGCCGTTTTGAATATTATTTCCGGGGCGTTGGTTTCTTCGGCTACATTTTAAATATATATATGTATATAAGTACGTATATACATATATATTATATATTATAACTTGTAATTATATAAGAAATAAAGGTTTAAGTGTATTTAAAAGTCCTTATATAAGGCTCTGGATGTAACTTATATAAAACTTAACTTATATAACGAATTTTTTGAATATTATTACTGTATTAAAAACTCGTATGTAAAGGATAAAGTAAAATAAAATGATTATTGCCGTTTTATTTCTTTTGAATAATTTATTTTCTGTCGCCATCGCGAAACGATCGGTGACGGACTATAGCATTGACGTCACACACGTGCGGCACGTGGCAAGGTTAAATTTGAAACTGTGTTAGAGGCGATTCTTTTCCTTCTCTCCCTATTCTTAAATTTAAAAAAATAATAATAAAAATAAGAATCGAGGGCTCGTAACCCGTAAAGGCGGATTAACGTGTATAAACGAAAGGTCACCAGGGGCATCTATTTCTAGTTAGATTATCGATTTAAGAGAAATAATTTCTCGCCTTTGACTCGTCTGCAGCCATTTCCGCTGTTTTCAGACAGATTTTTCAAATCATTTCTATTGTAATTCGTGTATACGATCTTTAGAAAAATCACATTTAATTAATATAATGCATTTTATTTAATAAAATATATATAAATCGATGAAATTTATCTGTGGTGGTTTATAACGACGTTATTAAAAATATAAAATATAGGAAATAAATAATTACAACAATTATCTTAAATTATATAGTCGAATATAAGGTTTAATTATCGTATTAATATATATTTTTTTAATAAATAATAATAATAATAAAAAATTTAATATCAAAAATCCGATCTAACTATTCTGTCGTTATTTGTTTTCCTTAAACGATATAACGCGAAAGCGCATGCGTAACTTCTAATTACGTCATGTGACCGACTCTTTTCGGCACGTGGACGACCGTTGCTATGGCAATGTGCGCCTTTCGAGTTCATGTGGAAGGAAAACAATTTGCGTTACGTCACGGATACTTTTTTTATTATTTTATTTCCTTCTTATTTTCTATCCAATATTTCCTCGCATTTGAAAATAAATCTAATTTGAAATATATCGACTACAGTCTTAAGATTTCTACGATTTATTATATATAATCATTTTCATTTAGATGCGTATTTTTAGTCGAATAATTCTTTAATAAATAGAACAAATGACAATGAATGGTCAATAGAAAGTAGGACTTTTGTCCGCTTTGAGGCTAAATTATAATATTTGTTTGTCTTCTCCATTGTTCCTTTTTATTCAAAATAGTATTGAAATGTTTAATTCTTTGGAATTAACATCAGATATTAACAGTGTACGTGGCACACAGCGCATTTATTTTGTTCTGTAGCTTGGAAAACCGATCAATTCTGCTAATTTTTCCTCGTAACATGATTCGGATAAAATACACACATAAGCTTAATATATATATATTTACAAATCGTCCCACTTGATATATACACTTTTTTGGTCTATCAACAGGTGGAAAGTACATTTGTCACTCTTCTTTCAGAAATTGTTTATAAAATCATACTTCAGAAGGATGTTTCTGCAATTCAGTTTAAACAATTTATATTAAATTTTATAAATAGAAAATATTTTCCCAGTCACTTGTGTGTGTGTTTTTTAATTTTTTTTTTGTCTTGGATAAAATTGTATACAAGAAATCACGTATTAAAGATCTGGGGATTACTTTGATAATCTTGTCTAACTATAGCATTTATTGTTATGAATATAAGCATTTTTTTTTTTTTAATATCAGCGACTTAAAACATTCAAATGATCAGTAAAAAATATAAAATATTTTTTATTTAGAGATCATATCAGATTCTATATTATATAACATAATATATGAAGATGTATTCTATCTATAGATTGAAATGATAAGAAATCTGTCATCATATAAAATTATAAGGTTAGATAGGTATTAAGGCTATTTTTATAGATATGAAAATATGTTTACGTGTAAACACATAGATATATATATATATATTTATTTAAATGCTGTTGTATATAAAATAAAGTACGAATCGCTGTAAAATTGCCAGTTTAAGAAAAGATGTAT